AAATTGCAATTAGTAATTATTTTATGTAAAAATATTAACAAACTTGAAAGATATAGAATTTTATCAGCAGAGGTTCCGAGATATATATTATCTGTATATATTATCTCATATTATCTGTTGAATCATACGAGTGTGTAAGTCCCAGTGACATGAAACATAGAAATGAAAAATGTTTTAAATGTATATGTGACTATCATATGAACTAGATGTATAATAACCGGAAGTTTCGAATTACGTTTTGAACGAAGTAAAATTATTGGCTAACAAAGTATCGAAAAGAAGTGATAATTATGCGCTAAAAAATAGAAAAATATTCCGAATACTATATTTCTACTTCAGTTAAGTTGCCATAGAATGCCAAATTAAAAATCTTTTTCAGTTTCAATATAATAAGACTTTTGCAAACACGGTGGCCAACAAATTATACACGGTTTTCTGCAAATATTTTATATCCTTCGAATAGATCGATATGCTTATATGAAAACATCACTGATGAAAGGCCACTGATAAAGACCAGTGTGAACTGACGCTGGTTCTTTTGTGTGTCAATGATTACATAATTTTATTATATAGAACTACAATTTTGTAATCAATAACGCCCAACAGAACCAGCGTTGGCTTCTACTAGTCTTTAATACTTGAAGTTTTGTATGCCTAGACCTTTATATTTACATGTACTTAGCTAATATCAACATATAATTAAACATAATGATGAATATATTGTAATCTCGTACATAGTGTTGCTCAACGGAAACCGCGAGAAGGTTAGAGTGGTCTCTTTCGTCAAAGGGAAATGAAAAACATGTGTTTCTTTTAATATTACAATACGAATCCCTTATAGAAATATCATACTAAGAATCATTGATAATTATTTATTTTCAGTATTAAAAATACTGGATAATAAGTAATTATCAATGATTCTTAGTATGATATTTCTATAAGGGATGTACATATACATTTCCGTTTTTATAAGATAATTTCTTAAAATTCGACATGTTATATTATAAAAGCTATATTGTACTTTACAAAGTATTATAATATAAAAATAATATAACTCAGTTTTTCATTTCCCAAGGATATGATGGAATGAAGAATAGAGTAGAGAAGGAAAGATAGGGATATAAAATAAAATATAGATAGAAGCGATAGAGAAAGTCAGAAAGATCCCATTTAACGCAGACCGTAAAGACGTTTTAACGGTGCCAGAGAACGTTAAACGTCTTATGGACATCCTAACAATATTTAGAAAACGTCCTTTGAGTGTTTGTGCTATCTGGGATATAAAGAATAAGATATACACAATGACACGCGCAATGTATAGAGAGTGTTATTACAA